GGACTTGACTTTATTTTGAACTTGTTTGCCAGATTGCAACTGATTAACTTTGCTTTTCACATATAGCGCATTAGACTCAGAGTTTCTTATATCTTGAAGAAGCTTTGTCTTTACTGAATCAGATGTAATTTGCACACCAGAGCTCTCAAGTGCCATTATCATGGGTTGATATATATCCGGAAGACCTGCTAGTAACAGGGTCCCGAGCCACTCATCGTCAACATTGAAACCAATGTTTCTCAATTTATGGGCGGTACTCATTATTTTGTTAACATAGTCTTCAATATTTAGACAGTTTTCGAGGGTCGTGGTTATCAGATCTCTCAGGAGCCCAACCCGACGTGTCAAACCATTATCATTAAAAGCCTTAGCTAAATTATTCCACACATCTTTAGCTGTTTTAGCTTCTTGGATATGTACATAATTGACAGGATGCACTAGAAGAATTAATTTTGATCTTGCCTTCGTATCAAGCTTTGCATCAACGACTTCATTTTCTTTACGGGTGACACAACTCCATAAATCTTCATGTTCTAGGTAAGTCTGCATAGCAAATCGCCACGTTGCATAATTTTCTCTTCCAGTCAGTTTTTCCATCAGTGCCATCGTATTATTTGAAGACATTTTGCGGATGAAGAAGAATTTAAATTGCCAGAACACGTGCGGAGTTTGAGGTTAGGTTGTACTAATTGTACCAGAACTACGAACTTTTATCTTAAAACTTTGGAATTATATTACTTTCACCTTTATAGACAATATTCAGGTGGCCTGGGCCCATAACCTGTTGTAATTAATGAAAATATAGTTTTAATGGTAGAACGTAGTTTTATTATAGAGATTCAAGAAGAAGAGTGACATAGACAAAAAATGTGTTACATGAATAGTTGTTGAGCACAGATAAAATAGGGTTCAAATTACTAATACAACAAATATGGTCACAATGCAGGGTATGCAATGGTATATTGTGTTTATCAATTGAGTGTAAAAATCCCTCTTGATGTCCTTCCTTTCTTGTAGCTAGTAGACATGGTATACAAGTTACAAGAAATTCCTCAATTTTATTGTTTTAAATTTTTAATGAAGTAATCCTTACCAATTAACTCTATCATTTTCTTCTTAGAAAAATGGCCACGCTCATGAACTCTTCTTATTATTTCTGTTTCTATGCTTTTAGGTACAACTAATCGTCTACTCATACCTTTGTAAAGTAAGCCTCTTTCCAAATAATAATCTGCAAAAGGTCTTTCCCGCAAAATTTCCTTTATAGCCTTTAATCCCTCATCACAGTCCTGTGCTTGTTGTATTTGATCATGCAAGGTCACCACCATGCCTGCATCATAACAATTCCTACTTAAAGCATCCGTGTGTCTCATCTGACTACCAGACCTATGTTCTATAACATAATCATACTGGTCAAGTAAAAGCACCCATCTAGCTACCTTAGGTGTCAAATCCCGTTTCCTTAAAGTCATACTAAAAGCTTGACAATCCGTGACGATTTTAAATTTAATCCCGAATAAGTAATGATGGAATTTTTTAACACCCTGGACTACTGCTAAGGCCTCCAGCTCATAGCTACTGTACTTGCTTTCAGCATCAGTTGTTCTCTTACTCATGTAGTGAATAGGATGTAACTCTCCAGTCGGTGCCCTCTGCAGCAGTATAGCCGCATAAGCCACACTAGATGCGTCTGTGTGTAGCTCAGTCTTAAGTTGAGGATTAAACAATGATAAAACTGGGCCACTTGCCAATTTCTGCTTTAACGCATTGAATGCCTGTCTCTGTATAATATCAAAAGAAAAATTGGTATCTTTTCTCAAGAGGTCAGTGAGGGGTTTGGCCAATAAAGCATAATTTGGAATGTACTTGCGGAAGTAAGATGTCAGTCCGATGAAGCTGTGCAATTGCTTCAATGTCCTCGGTTCCGGATATTTCATAACAGCCTCAGTCTTATCAAGTGATGGTCTCACTTTTCCATCTTCCACCATATGTCCAAGATATTCCACTCGCTGTGAAATCAGGTTTGCTTTCTTCCAATTGATCTGTAATCCATGCATGGATGCAACTTTTAGAACACATTTTAATCTCCCCAATGCCTGAATTTCATCTTCAGCATACACAATAATATCATCAATAAACGTTACCATTATATTCTGTGATACCAACTCCCTGAATATTATTGACACAAATCTTGTAAAATATTTAGGGCAGACTGAAAGGCCAAATGGAGCTCTAAGAAATTCCCATTGCCCATGGTGAGTAACGAAGGCTGTGTATTTGACGGATTCCTCACTAACTTTCAAATGGAAAAAATCCATCTTCTAAGTCTAGGACACTAAAATATCTAGCACCGCTTAACTTATCAATTAAGTCCTCTATTAACGGCAAAGGATATTCGTCTTTAACCATCTTCTTGTTAATATCTCGATAATCAACACAAACTCTTGTGGATCCATCTTTTTTCCTCACTAACACGATAGGGCTAGCATACTCAGAATAACTTACCCGAATTATATTGTTGTCCAACCATTGCTTCACCTGTTGTTCAACAATCTCACGTTCCTTCAGAGATATCCGTCGTGGACGATGTGCAACAGGGATGTCATCTTTGAGTATGATCTTCAACTCCAATGGAACCTCCTTGGTTCGAACAGGTTTATACTCATCTACGCACTGCAAAACCTCTTGTCGCACTGAAGGACTGCAAGTGTCACCTATAACAACATCACAATTTGCCACACAATTTAAACCCCTGAACCAATTCTCCCCTTTGTCTAACAGATGTACAGATCGCTCTCCGAATACTACGGTGTAGTCAGACAACAATTCCTGTCCCAAAACAACATAATACGGCATTGTATTACACGGTATAATATGGAAAGTAACAGTTAAACACCTATCACCTATACGAATAGGTAGGAAACACTTTCCAAGCGATTGGATAGACCGGTTTCCTAATCCAGTTAACAACAAACGTTCACTAACACAACTAAAGCTAGTAAGATAGCCCTTGTAGATACGTTCATCTATCAAGTTTATGTCGCTTCCCGTATCAACCAACGCGTTCACTTCGAAATCGTCCAACATAATCTTCACTACAGGTTTTGAATAATTCGATTTATCGATCTTCTCAAGTTCCAGTTTGTTTGGATTCGCGTCGACATATCTCTCCGCCAATCTTTCGGTCAACATAACATCGGCTGTCAGTGTCATGTTACTCTCATTTGGGCCATCTGTCACTGTATGTTTCGTCACGTCCGCGCTGTCAGTTTGTCGGTCAAACCGCTCAACCCGCTCCGGTGTGAAGTTGTTTGAAGCGAACATAGCTTTCGCCTGGCCGGTCGTTCTGCTATTTTGTGATTGGCCCTCCCGCGCTTGTCGCTCCTCATTGGTCGATCGCTCTCGTGTATTTTCGTACCGGCGATGACTCGACCGATCCTTCCCGAAGCTCGTGTTATGATGATTGTCTTTTCTACAATACGATGCAATATGGCCGAACTTATTACAGTTAAAACACTTTAACCCATGCATTTTATTTGGACATGCCGACGATGTATGCCCCAATTCACCACAGTTATAACACCGTGACTGTTTATGACGATTGTTCTCCGGCTTCATTTTTGATTTTACATTTTCATAAATCTTAATTTTGTCTTTTAGCTCCGAGTATGTAGTCACTCCGTGCAACATAATCTTGTTCATCTCTACGTCTTTTATGCCGTCTATAATGTACTTAATGGCCACATAGTCTGGCAACTTGCCCCTCTTTCCCATCTCCTTCATTGTTAGCATATAATCTAAACATGTTTCGCTTGATAATTTCTGCCGACTACACATCATCTCATGCACCGTTTTTTGGTCGAGCGTGTCTGGGAACTCCTTAGACACAGCTTGCCTGAGCTCAGCCCATGTTTTAAACGGTCGCTCACTTTTTAGCCAAAGCGCTGCAGTACCTTCCAGGGATCTTCTCGCCACTATAAGTTGTTGCAACGGACTCCATTCGAAGATTTCGCTGTGATCTTCGATATCTTGGATCCAGCGTGACACCGGGTAGCAATTATCGGTGCCGGTGAACTTCGGTATGAGCTCTTCGGAGTATTGCAAATTACCTTGGCGTTGAGGTGTTACTCCCGTCATCTCAGCTTTGTCAGCAACTTCCCTCGGCATCTTAAAATTCCTCTCTTGCCACCACCCGACCACGTGTCGTGCGAAGTCGTCGTAGGAAAATTTCGTCTTCTTTACGTCTTTTCGTTCCGTCTTTCTTCGTTTCTTCGTATCCCGGACGAGCCCCCAAATTTGTGGTGTCGTGGTGGGCAAAATAAAAGATTTTTTTCGTGTCTCTCTGATTTATTCACTCTTTTTTAAATATATCCTTGTAGTTCTTTTCTTCTTTTACGCCTCATGGCTTCCTGCCCTTTTATCTATCTCTCTCTCCCTCTCATACATCTATCCCCCTCTATCAAATCAGTCGTTCATGCATCTCAATCCCATTCATCTAACATTCCCTTTCGCTCAGAAACCACAGACCTACATATATTTTTTTTATTATTTGCAAAATATGCGTGTCTCCTCACGATGTTTTCCTTCACCGCTGAGCACGTGATGATTCGGCAGTTAAAATTAACAATTTCATCGGTGCCGGCACGCGGGGATCGTACTTCGGTTGCTCGAGTAAATGTAATTTAAGGCGCGCGCCCGAACGCTGAACTTTCACGGCTAAGTTAAAGTGAAGGTAAAGTGTTTTTTTTTTTTATTTAAGTAAGTGGCAAACGAGCTGGCGGTTCATCCGACATCAGATAAACCGCCAGATCGTTTGCCACCTTCCCACATGAAAATTAAATTGGGTCTTCATAACCAGTAGGTCTTTTACTGGAACTCAACTATCGATAAAGACAGAATCAAGATATCTATACTATTATCTATCTATGTATTACATATCTATTATATATAGTCAGAATCAAAATATTCTATACTACTTATATCTATACTACGCGTTCCAGATCGACCGGAAGATCAGGGAGGACACTTCGATGGGTGTCCACGTGGCGGTATACAGGTGAGTGACCATCTGACTGGCTTATATCATATTTAACCATAACTTTACCATCAACTCTTACGCGCATCAACTTGATAATCAATCCCTCTCAGCATCTTTGCTGTTGTATGAACGGCGTTCCCCAGGGAGCACCACAGTCTCCCAGAAGATTGTGTAGCAGAAGTATGTAAACCTTTTTGTCCAGCGTGTGAGTTTCTTGGCCCAATACTTGATCTTGGCTGACTTGATGGATTGTTGAGCAGCACCTACCGTAAGAAAGGGCTTCCCCAGGGACCACGACAGGTGTCCATGCTTTTTTGCCATCGCTTGAGATAGCTGGGGCCAAACCTTAAAGGCCGCTCTGAATATCATTCAAGTATCCTATTTCATTGTCCGTCACTTGGAGAAATCAGTGACTTTTTTCTTTCATTTAATTCGAAACTGGCCAGCGTTTGACTGACTATCCTCCTATCCGATGTCCTATCTGATGGTGAGTTTTTTTGGCGCATACCCTGTCTGAGATCTATGCGGATGCCACTGACCCCAGGGTCCAGGACCTGTTCGAGTGCGCGTCCGCCAAGTTCAAGGTGGAGGTGAACGCGAAGCAGCTGCACATGACCGGCTGCGTGCTTCTGCATAGAGGCTGCTGCCTGGTGGTGGTCGAGGGGGGGCCCAAGCAGCACGAGAAGTACAAGAGGTGGGTGAAAGTGGAGATATGGTCTTTTTGTATATGGTGGCGATGACTCCGTGGAGCAGTCGCCTAGGTATTGCCCTTGGCGTCGTGGGTCGTGGGTTCGATTCCCACACGGGACAACTGTTTGTGCGACCCCATATAGCTAGCACCTGCATCTCTTGGGCTGGGTAGGAAGTCCCAACGACCACTGTGACCTGGTAGATCTATTGTAGTCTTCCCTTTGAAGACATTGCCTTCTTACTGCTATTTGTATCAATAAATGATTGTAACGCTCCTGTGTTGAATAAAGATATTTGAATTACTTACTTCGCTGGCTCAGCGACCAAAATATTGGCTTCCCACACTTCTGACTTCTTACTGTGGGAGAAAATTATCCTGTGTTGAGACGACGTTTTCCATACACAAATTTCACGTAGTCGAACACCCAGATCCTGAAATGTTTATCTGTGGTTCACTCAAGTAGTTGACTCGTGTCGGAATCGAACCCATCATCCCGTAGCCGTGACCAAATCCTTGGCAACCGCGCCGCGGAGTCATCATGAACGGCCTATATATGTCCCAGTGCTGGGCAAAAGCCTCCTCTGTACAGATTTTACTAGGGAATAGTTCACTACGCGACTACTCGCCGATTGGCGTAATTTGAGTGTCCAACATCAACATATTTACATCGTATTTTTCTATTTAATATCATTGTTAAATACATATTTATCTAATTTAAATGTATTCTTCTTTTATATATGTAACTATACAAATATCGCAAATCTGGCAACTCTGGCTGCCAAGCCAGAATACAAGCGCTGTTTAGTTTGGGATTCATTGTTAATGTTTTGTACTTTGATGCGAGTAGCAATATTCTGTACTAGCTGTGCCCGCGACTTCGCCCGCGTGGAATTAAAAATAAAAACAAAATTCTAAAATAAAGGTAGCCTAAGTTACTCCTTATTTCATCAGCTATCTGCCAGTGAAAGTCCCGTCCAAATCGGTCCAGCCGGAACAGACAGACAGACAGACAGACAAAAATTGTGAAAAATGTTATTTCGGTACATATACCTTGTACACATCCATATGCATTTAGTAAAAAGCGCTTATCTCAATATTACAAACAGACACTCCAATTTTATCTATCTATCTGTATGTATGTATGTATAGATTAATCTTTTATTACTATATTTTTAACTCGTGTTTCGTGACTTGCGTTTGTATAATAATAATAATCTTTATTTGCCATTAAACTGGGTGATTAAGAAGTTGATTTACAAAGTTATTGACCTCCAAGTTCAGCCATAATATATGGCATGCAAATATGCGTTACTTTGTATTTAATAACCAGTGTTATATTTGATATAGAAAAATACAATTTATATGGATGAAATATATACAAGATTTTATAATATGTACTTTAACATGTACCAATTGTCCCATTTAGATAGATGAATGGATTAATTTAACCTTGTACCGGGCTCGATTGTGGCGCAGGCTGATGCTGCACCGCATCAAGTGGGAGGAGGACACGGTGAAGGATGCAGAGGGCGCGGAGGTGCCCAACAGCTGCCGGCTCGTGTGGGAGGGCGTCACTAAGCAGCGAGCCTTCGGCGAGATCAAGTTCAAGGTGGGACTAAACCCCCCCCCCCCCCCCCCCCCCCCCCCCCTTTAACCCTTAACCGCTTATTCTTATATAAACACATATGTAAACATGCCTTTATTTGATAATGTTATGGTATAAAAAAAAAGAGTGCCGCCGAGTTTCTTTCGCCGGTTCTTCTGTAAAGTGTTTGATTTTGATTTTAGAAAGAAAGAAATATTTATTTGGTACATAACACACAAAAAGTAAAATAAAAATGGCAATTGAAATTTTGAAATCAATGCACCAAAAAGGTCACAAGGTCATCGGCATTGCATCGCAAAAAAGTTTTTTGCGATTGCCGATTTTCACTGGAACCTCTTAAGAGAACCCTAATAATGATCTTTTAAACTGCGCAACGGATCTTGATGCGGTTTTTTACTAGATAGAGTGATTCAAGAGGAAGTGCAAGTGATACAGTGCACCCGTGCGAAGCCGGGGCGGGTCCCTAGTCTTGTATACGCGATTACTCCTGTGTTATGACTTGTGTATTTAAGTATGTATGGCAGGCTCATGCACCGCGGCAGTCTGTGCTCTGCAGTGGACTCTAACAAGCACAAGTCAATTTGTTACCCGACTTCGAAAGGAGGAGGCCGAGTGAATCGATTTTGATGATTACTTTTTTATTTGGAAGCTCGCGCTTCCCACGTGGTCCCATATTAATTTCATTGGGGTTTTCGTGGGAGTTATCCGGAGATATTAAGGAAAACCCTGAAAATCAACTATAAAAAGTATTTTTTTTTTTTACTAACAAAAAACAAAACCGATTTCAAATATCTCGCTCTGTATACATTTCATTATCTAATATATAAAATTCTCGTGTCACGGTGTTTGTAATTGAACTCCTCCGAAACGGCTCGACCGATTCTCGTGAAATTTTGTATGCATACCGGCCAGGGTGGAGGATCGGACAACATCTATTTTTCATCGCCCCAAATGTTAAGGGTGGTCCGCCCCAAACATTTTTTTCTACCCCACAAACAATTTATATGGTAAAACGTTTGCCGGGTCAGCTGGTTCTTCATATAATCCTACGTCTGCAACGATTCGCCAACCGCTTTGCAGGTGATGCCAACAGAGAAACAGGCGAGGGAGCACTTCCAGAAGCACGGGGTAGAGCACTACTGGGATCTGGCTTACAGCGGGGCAGTCCTGGGGAGCGCCGCGGACCAGCCCTAGTCCGGGCCTGTCCGTTTCGCGATAGTCGGCCTTTCGCTGTGTTACACGATGTATATTAAAGAGTAAAGTTTTATATTGCCGCTGCGTTTGTTTCATTGTCGTTCCCGTTTCATTGATCTCTTTTAACTACCCTATCTATGTCCATCTGCAACCTCTTACAGTCTTCTTCGTTTCTTATAGAAAGAGAAAGCTTCAAGTCATCTGCAAACAATAAACATTTCGCGTTTTTGACAACCTTTGGCAAATCGTTTATCGTTATTAAAAACCTTGAATTACACCGGATAGAGTAAGGTATGGTTCCGATTTGAGTCCACCGTATTCTACATATTGCCGCCTGTCTCTCATGTAGCTAGCAAAAAAGTGTAGTAATTTTGGGGTAAAACCACTTCCTGCTAACTTTTTAAGTAATACGTCATTATTGACTAAGTCAAATGCTTTTTTAAAATCGAAGTATGCAGCATCAAGATGAGGAGTAAAGTTTTATATTACCGCTGCGTTTGTTTCATTGCCATTCCCGTTTCATTGATCTCTTTTAACGGTTCAATTGATTTCATTCATTCAGTCAGTAAGCCATAGAAGTATTATGAAACTAGAAGGCTAGCACTGAACATCAGCGCTGTGTTGGGGCCTCGACTTCCGGCATAGCATAATGCTGAGCTGCTAACCTAATTTACCGGAATAGGGCGTAGAACATTTATGGTTTGTTAAAGTTCTTTTTCATTTGTTTTATATTTTAATTATGTATTTGTGTTCTTCCGCTTTACTGAATTATTTATAAGTAATTTTTTTATTTTCTCTTATTTTTAGTTTTTCTTTCGCTTATATTGTGTGTATCCTATTTTTTGGTAAATAAATGTATTTTCTTTCTTTCTTTCTATTCATTAATTCTTTTAACAGTAATGATAATTGTTAGAAACGGAAACGTTAATCGATGTTTTTTAAAAGAATGTTATAATTATTGTAGATATGTAGTATAATTGATAATTTATCAATATATTGTTTTTGGTATTATTTAATTTTAATATTTTATTTATAATCTAGTATTTAATTTATACCCTATATTTTGACGGGTATAAATTCAAATCTTACAACATACGCGGGGTAGTTTTCGGTTATTGTGAGTTATGGCTGTTGCTCCGCTGGAAGAGGTAAGTATTGGCGCTATGCAATTATTGAGTAATATTGAGTTATAGTTGCATAAATTGGAAAATGTTAGTTATTTCTAACATTTATTGTCCAGTAGGCCAGGCTACATACAAGTTGACCGACACAATTGTTATTCAAAAAGTTAAAGTCAAAATTTGTTTATTCAACATAGGCTTACTTTGATTAAAAAACACCCAAATTTCAATAGGGAAGAGGGTTGGGAGCTACCATCGGCTTGGGATCATATTATTAATAAAATGAAATCCAGGCCCAAACGAACCACTACTGCAAGACAAGATAAAATTTGCATGTTGCGTACATCAACACAAAAATTAGTAATTAAAAAACTGGCCCGGCCAGCCCGGATTAACGATGACATTCAGACGTCCAACGCCTCATTCTGTCCCGTGACCATGAACGCTGTAAAGGGTTCGAAATGTCAGGTATTAAAACCGAAATAAACGCGATAAATCCGTAATCATAGTTTCATTTAGTTATTTCATCACATAGTTATTTCAAACATAGTAACGTGTAATCACATAAATACAAGAAATTATTAGGCCCTTCATGTTTGAAATTATTTAGACTATTTATTTACGTTAATTAATTAATTTGAGCAGAGCTTCCGCACTCTACAACGGCTGACGAGAGAGTGGCCCAACATGGCGAGCGCTGTTCTTTTTATAGATCGTTTCAGTATGCCACTACCCTCCTCTCTGCCAACAATATTATTATTGTAATTAAAACAAAAAAAAAATAATATAAACTTCGTTTGCCTTTGTTCAGCGTTGTCGTTTGTCAGGCGCAATTTTTACTTTGTGAATAATTTTTTTTTTTCGGTTGTGAGTGAAGACCGTCTTTAGCGTTTCGATGAAACCCATTAGAAAAGGAAGAGGATATATCAAAAATGAGAGGATGAACAATTTAGTTTTTGAGAGTTAAAAAAAAAGCTCATCCCGATTTGCGGCGATACTACAACTGCTTTGGAAAAAAGTTAGTTTTTAATTTTTGGTATATTCTCTAACTTTTCTTTAGAGTTTCTCAGAAATCCATTCAATAGAAAAGTGAAACAAAGCGGTGTCTTCTTCGCAACATTGCGACACAATCCCACGAGTCAAGTTTTACAGTTATACAGGATGATTATATGGACGACGGACATAGAGCATATGCAGAATTTGATTCTAAATCTGAATCTGATATGTTCTTATGACCTTATTCTTACTTTTTTCAAAGATTATTTTTAATTTTTTCAAACATCATGGACACCTTAAGAAATTCCCGCCCTACCGTCTCAATACAATAACCTATTCACGGGTACTAAAACTTTACGCTGAACGCACAATTAGTAAACTGCTCATCAACAGGGTGACCACTCTTAACGGGATAAACAAAAAATGTTTGAAATTATATTTTTCTGGTCATTTCTTACCAAAATTTATTTATTTAGTTTTTTATCTAAGTAGATACAAAAGTAAGTTACAACACATGTCTTAAAAATAAGAAAATAGTAATGAAGATTAATACAAAATTTTGTAACTAACCTCAAACTACGAAACATTAACAATGGATCCCAAACTAAGCAGTACTTGTATCTTGGGAGCCAGAGCTGCCAGATTTGCGATAGGTGTTTAGTTACATCGTGAAGACTCATTGCTAATAACAAAAATAAAGTGACTAAAATGAAAAAAAAAAAACGATAACTACAAAGTAAATTGGTAATCGTGGCTTAAAATGAAATTGAGATGAAAAAACTTAATAACTACGCAGGCTTTTCTGAGTAGTATGTTTACTGAAAGTGCATGTGCGAGCATTCGCACAGACGTAGGTTAGCTATAGTCTAGTTATAGTTTAAATTACAAGTCTTTGCAATAAATAAGTTGTAATAAATTGATTTTTATTGAGACAGTGTCTAAAATTAGTTTCATCCTAATTTTATTTATTTATTTCATTTGGTTTCAAAAATTACCGCACTGGCCTACTGCACGCTTTATTCATTATTTAATTTTCCCCAGACTCCCGTTTCTATCGGGTCGATGCTACAGTCACAAAAGTGGACATTGAAAATGTACCTTTGATCCAAATAAAATGAATAAATATTTTAGGCAAATTTTTACACAACGTTCTCTAGTCCCAAAGTCCCAAACTAAGCAGCGCTTGTACTATGGGTAGTAGATAACTGATAAATATACTTAAACATAGTTTTCTTTTGTAAATAAATACATTATACATATATTATACATATATAAACACCCGGACACTAGAAAAAGTGGGGATCGAACCCACACCCTCTGACGCAGGAAGCAGGTACCCTACTCACTACGCCATTCGCGTCGTCACTGTACCTTCACTTAACTTTTTCTTTAGCAATTCGATCAAATAAGTTTAAAAATAAACATGAGTTTATTTTTAAAACAACACGTTCCGCTATTTGAAGAAGAAGAAGAAGAAGAAACGTTTATTCACGGTCTAAGCACAAATAGATACATAGAACACTTAAAAATAATAATGTAACTACACATTATATAAAATAATATTAGAATAACTTAAAATAAATGTAAACATAACAAAAAAAACTAAAAATAATAATAATAATAAAGGGAAGGTCTGTGTAGCAGCATAAGACCGTGAAACGGACGGGACTCGGTTAAAGTCGAGATACAGTAACTAAGATTCGTTCTGATCCCGACGCCGGTTTTCAGTCCGCCCGCACTTCGAGACAACTCGGACGGCTGCGTCAGTGCACTTGTAATACATACCTACAACGCAGTATAGCGATAATTAAATTATTTTTGTTTGAACCTTTCAATTATATAGACAGTGGGTATCATTTGTCTGAAGAGGTACGTAAAAAATTAGAACTAATGTTTTCTTATTTGATATTGGTGTCAGCTGCTTTATTTCCATTTTGGTTTTAGGTTACCAATATTTATCCCTACTCTGTGGCACTGTGACATTACCGATCGAGCAGTGGACACGTGACTTAATTTGAAACGTAAAACGCGAGACAGACCTCGTTGCGCGTTGGCCACATGATAAAGGTAAGAAAATGAGTGTCTTATAAGTATATAAATTATGATATATGTTTATAAAAAAAATATAATGTATATATATTATATTAAATTATATTGTATCAAATCATATTACATTGTATTTTATTATATTATATTATAGCGTATAATTAAGCTGATAAGAATTAGAATTAAACGGCAGCATTTTTTTTGTTCTAAAAGTAGATACAATTTGTACTTGTTTTTAAAACCAGTTATTGTTTTCAGGTCGCCGCGCAAGGGAGGCGGGAGGTTGTTCCAGCACTTCGTGGCATTGTATTTGAAACTGCCTCTAAAAGCGGCCGAACGGTAGAAAGGATAAACTAATTTATAATTAGATGATCTCGTATTATACTTCTCATTTTGATCTTTAGCCCAAATCAACTTATTGTAAAGATATAACGGCTCTTTGTTTCTAATAGTTCCAAATAAAAGTGAGGCGAAGTGTAGTCGTCTGCGGAGGTCCATCTTTAGGATATTTGCGTTATTGATAAAAGGCGTTACATGTGCACGTGGAGGTATATTAAAACAGAAACGTGCACAGGCGTTCTGTACCCTTTGTATTATTTGCCTTGTTCGTGATAACAGACGTGGGCCTAAGAGGGAATCCGCGTAATTGAATTTTGAGAGAACGAGAGATTCGCATAGATTGATACGTAAGGAAACACTTAGGTAATCACGAATACGATAGAGTACTTTCAACCTGTAAAAGCAGTTACGTGCAATACCCATAATATGCTTCTCAAAACGCAGCTTGTCGTCCATTATTACCCCCAAATTTCTGACTTCCGCCACTCTTACAATGGATTCGTTGTTTACGGTAATGGCAGGGTGACTTAATATGATCTTCTTTATTTGATTTGGCGATCCTAGAATCATATACTGAGATTTCTTCGGATTGAGAACTAGTGCATTACGCTCTGACCACAAAGATATCCGACTTAAGTCCAAATTTAACTTTGCTACAGCTGAGTGAACATCACGAGGCTTAAATGAAATATATATCTGTAAATCGTCAGCGTACATGTGATACTTACAAAACTCAATATTTTTAATAAGATCTGCACTATATATTATAAAAAGTAATGGACCTAAGATGGATCCCTGTGGTACACCTCGGTCTACAAGTCGCTCTCCAGAGATACTTTTGTCCCTTCCACTTGAGTGCATTTCAACCCGTTGCGACCTATTTTCAAAGTAACTGGCAAACCAATGAGTTGCGCTTCTACTAATTCCATAAAAATATAATTTGGACAGAAGTAATGGAATATTTAGGGTTTCAAACGCGCGTGAGAAATCAAGAAGCGTTAAAATTGTACCTTCCCCACTCGCCTGTGCGGTCAATATATCATCTACGACCGCTATAAGCGCAGTGGTAGTGCTGTGCGTTTTTCGGAATCCAGACTGCAACTTAGGAAGGATATTATTTGATTCTAGGTACTCTGTTAGTTGATTACATGCAAGCGTTTCAATAACTTTAGAAAGGCACGGTAGGATGCTAATAGGCCTAAGATCCGACATATAAACAGGGTTACTAGTTTTAGGTATAGGTTTCACGATTGCTTTTTTCCAGAGATCCGGGTAGGTATGTGGCGCAAACGATGTATTAATTATACGTGTTATTTCTGTAATAGCATCTTTAGGTAATAACTTTAACATATCAAGTGAAATGCCATCGCATCCCACTGCATTAGACCGCAGAGAGTTTAGAACTTTAACAACCTGATCTTCTGAGACTTCTTTAAAATGAAAAGAGCTATCATTAGTGCTATTAAATTCAAAGAAAGTGAGAAGGGACAATGAAACATTATTTCCAGGAATATTCAAAAAATGATCGTTTAAGGCATTAGGGTCACTAAAATGAGATGGTAGTGAGGAATCCTTACTTTTTATTTGTACTTGTTCTTTAATATGTTTCCACATTATTTTTGGTTGCTTTAGTTTGGAGTTAACATAAAATTTGCTTATTAGGTATATACTATATTACCTTTAAATGAGTTTTTAAACACTGTAATTAGATTGAAACTGCAGGTGGTTCCTTTAATTACAGTTAAATGGAGTCTCTGAATATTTTAAGGTGTTCTTAAGTCGGAATTGAAATAAAAACTGTTCATTGTTAAATTTATATTAAGTTTTTATAGTGTTCCTTAGAATTTTTTTATACAAATGAACGAAAAGTTTTTCGCCGCCGCGGGAATGGAAACCGCGTCTTCTGGAAAGGCGCCCAGACGCTTTAACCGCTGAGCTAAAGGGTCAATTGCCACGCCGTCGAAAATCAGCCTATTCAATAACATCAACGTTGTGTATATTATTTCATTTGCAATTTATTTCATGTGAAAGTCATCTTTGCCCCGGCTGTGATAATGTCACGTTTTGAAACTTGACGACTCCGTGGCGCAGTTGCCAAGATATCGGCTTCGTCGTCGGGGGTCGTGGGTTCGATTTCCGCACGGGAAAACTATTTGTGCGACCCGCAGACTGTTTTTTCGCATCTGGGTGTTTGTCCGCGTGAAATTTATGTTTGTAAACGTTGTAAGGACGTTTACAAACATAAATTTATAACTTATTTAAGATAAACACAGGTTACCTTAAGTAAGGTCAATGTTTAAAAAAATGTGTACTCTGTTAGTGTAGCGTTTTCATGTCGGTTATATGAAATAAGTGCACTAACATGGTGGAACATAAAATATTGAAAAATATTTTTTTTTATTAAAACTTGTAGAAAAAATACGAATAGATTATCGCCGCTGTGGGAATCGAACCCACGTCTTCGGCATTCGCGGCCTGACGCTTTTGCCACTAAGCTAAACGGCTGATTGCCACACCGACGAAAACCTTAATGTCTGTTATCTACATTGTTATTTAGCATTTGAAGCAATGACAATCTTTTCGTACTTTTTCTACAAGTTTTAATTTTTTAATCTTAAGTGCAGAGATTAGCACTATATGAAATGAAATAAAAAAAAAGTTTAAATATATTTTTTTATTCAAAACTGGCCAACGCTTGACTGCCATCCCACCTGATGGGAAGTGGCGATTCAGTGTAGCTGTTGATAGCTAACTCAGTAAAAACCTATTCACTGTTACCTTGAAGACATCTGTCACCGTGATAACATGAGTGGTAAAAAGAAGTGAAAAATTTAACACTTACTCCATCTTGTTTGTAAAGAAATGGAAAAACAATTAAAAAAAACCATCTGAGTAAGGGTTATATTCAAACAATGTACAAGTACCGTTTAATTTTATAATTTACCTTTAGTTTTTTCAATTTCAGACTTAAGAGTAGAATCATCCACACAGAATAATCCGTCTTTCGTATATGAAGAGGGGAGTTCAAAATTGGGAGGATTAATTAATATAGTAGATTTATTCAAACAGTGTTTTCCGACTTGTATATATGAAGAGGGGCAATGGCGAAATATTAAACTTTTTCTCTTGCCTTGTCAAAACCTCATTAGAATAACTAATAATCTCCTCAATTTTTGGCTAAGAGGTACCTTCTCTTTTAACTTTCCACGGTTGTCAAGTACTTTTGTTTTTCCTTCTTCGGTTATCCCATTTTCAGGCTTGAAAAAAGAATTATGCATACAGAATTGTCCAAATGTCCTAAACGTGGGGGGAGGGGGCACCTCCGACGTTGAACAATACTTCTCTTCTTCCTTGTAGAAACCTCATTAGAATAGCTACTCGTCTCCCTCCTTTTTGGCGAAGAGGTTTCCTTCTCCTTTGACGCTCCACGGCTGTCAAGTACTACTTTTGTTTTTTCTTCTTCGGTTATCCCATTTTCAGACTTGGAAATAGAATTATGCATACAGAATGGTCCAAATGTCCTATACGTGGGGGTGGGCATCTCCGACGTTCAACAATTCTTCTCTTCTTCCTTGTAGAAACCTCATTAGAATAGCTACTCGTCTCCCTCCTTTTTGGCGAAGAGGTTTCCTTCTCCTTTGACGCTCCACGGCTGTCAAGTACTACTTTTGTTTTTTTCTCCTTTTTTGGCGGTTTTCCCATTTTTTTGACGGACTTGGAAATCCCATTTTCGGACTTGGAAATAGAATTAGGCACACAGAGTGCTATTCCTTTTCTCCTATATCCGGCGGGGCACATAGGAACATTAAAACATCTCTTCTTCCTTGTAGAAACCTCATTAGAATAGCTACTCGTCTCCTGCCTTTTTGGCGAAGAGGTTTCCTTCTCCTTTGACACTCCACGGCTGTCAAGTAATACTTCGGTTTTCGCCTTTTCCCCGACCGGAGCTATCGCTGGAGTGGCTTTGGCTATATTCTCTACATTGCCCTTATTGTCTTCTGTCATTCCTTCTGAGCCGCCTCGAACTGTAAACGGCGTTCCTTTTGACTCTGGCTGTTCCAAGCTTCCTGGTCTTTCCTCGACGTTTATCGATTTGTCCGCGTATCTCCCGAACTTTACTGCTAAAGGTTGGTCTTCAATGACATGCATGTGCAGTACCCCGCCAATTTTGGCGACGGCGGCCAATAAATAAAGCGCCAGTATTGTGACTTGCATCATGCGTCCGTCCGTGTGTTTTACGAGTCGAGTGCCGCAGGTCTCGTATTTATATGCGTCGCCACCTCGACTAGGTTTCGCCCGTGCCTCCACTCGTTGATATATATTTTTTTGAGAATGGTATGTGATAAGCGTCGCCCGTGGACATTAGAAACACCCGTAGGGTCGCACATGCGTTGCCACCTTTTAATGTGGGCCCCGGCTACCTCACTCACTACGAAACGCAGAAGTACAATGCTCCTACTTCACGCCGGTCTTCTGTGAGGTCATTGTTCTTCCCCGGAAGGATCCGCCCACTCGTGCTGCAGCGTTGGCTGATGCGTGGCCCAGTTTGAGACAATGTGAGATATTTTTTTTTATATATATAAAGGGTTTTTATAGATAATGCTACGGAATCCTTCTTGCGCCAGTCCGACTTCTTATGCTTTGGGACCAAAGACAACTCGTTCTTTATTATTTTGCTGTTTCAATTAAATCGATTAGCATAGCATGTCCTTTATTATAGCAAGACATGTATACCTTAATGTCCGTCTCGAGTCTTCTTTTCAACATTAACTTACAACTATCATTTCTGGCTATACCCAATGCGATAGTTAAGAATACAGTTTAAGATAAACATATAACTAAAACTAAACACTGAGAATATGGAACAGCCAGCGTGGACTCGTTCAATCACAATTGAACAAATCTAATTGATTAGCTACTGTATTTAGATTACAGAAATAAAGTTGCCCGTGAACTAAGTAAAGATAATAGCATCGGTCGCCGCCTCCTCCTCAAAAATCCTTCTGGCACGCATAGCCCCATCTGCTGCATCACAATCGGTCAATCGGATGATTTAGTACCACGCAATTGAAAAATTTACGTGGCTACGAATATGTCACAACTTGAGTTTTACTGTTGGTGTTACTTCCTGTTGACTGGCAACACTCAAACAACTCTCTTGCCATCTCTGCGTTTAAAGTTTAACAACGTCTTCCGGAATTAAAGTGAATATTAATTTTTTTATGTCTTTAGCATAACTATTCAGGGAGGAAATGCAGCTAGCGCTCTTGGCACCATGCCGCGTGGATTAAGTTTATTAGATAATATGTAATTTTAGATAAATTTAATCTTGTAAATATTAGATCAATATTAATTAATTATTCATCTTTTATTATACATACATACATCCGTACAACAGAATACTTCTCTTCTCATTTTAAGTTATTACTAATTCAGACATACATTTCAATTTTATTATTGGTATATATTTCGATGTGTTGCTAACTCTGAACCTTTCCTGTTCGTTGTCGTCAAGTGACGTCAGACGTTTCTTGTGGTCAACAATTCTTTTAATTAGGTCATATCATACGATGTTTTAAGTATGTGTTTATGTGTAAGTAGGTATTATTAAATGAACTGACATTTTTTTTATTAATTAATTTTTAATAATACTCTTACTTCGTGCCAGTCTCCTGTGGAATCGTGTTATTAACCCGGACGGACCTGCCCATTCATGCAACGACATACATGTGCGTGGCCCTACCACAGTTGCACAAATCTGTTTACTCGGATATGTAGTTTAAGACGTCTACAGGAGAGGGACAAAGCGTTTAACCGCCCAAACATTTAGGAACTTTAACCAGCTTATAATACGATGTAGCTAATAATGAGCGTAGTAATAGATTTACAAAATAAAACTAGTACCACAAATCGGGTCATCGAGTTAGTTCATTTCATTATTTTTTTGTCGGCAATAATTAAGTTATACTCGTTGACTCAGACTATCAAACAAAAATATATATAATAAATGACGATACGTCCGACGTCAAAGAGGTGATAGCAAGGAGGAAATTAATTGCTTATTGCTCAAATGCTAATTTCAGAGCTTTCCCTATGTAAATTAAATTCAACATGTAAAATATATAGCGGTATCAAAACTTAAGTGTACGACTGAAATTTCAAAGATACAGTCAAAAATTAAGCGAAAACTATTTGAGGCATATCTGTCTCCTATATCAAATAGCATATGCTATTTGAGGAGAAGAGAATTGTTTGTATCACGTGCAGTTCGAAAAGTTGTCCGTTACTGTTTATAAGAGTCGGAATATTCCGTTTAAGAACACAGAAATAATCGAAAGGAGAAATTGATTGCCGGCCCGGGGGTAGAGCAAGAGACGCGGTCTCCCTAGGAGCCAGGTAGCAATGGGCGCTAAAAATCAAATGCAAGACACAATTTTCACATAAAATAAAAATTTAACGGCGCTTTTCGAAAGAGGCGGGACAGTGTTAGTTTACTAGGAAACAGGTTTTATTATTTAGTGTCTGATTGAAAATAAAACCAATTTAATTATATAAGTAGGACCGTCTCTTACTCTTAAATCTCTATCTTTTAATATTTGTAGAAAAAAATGAATGAAAAGCATACCGCTGCAGTAATCAAACCCACGTCTTCTGGAATCGGCGCTCAGACCACTAAGCTAAACTGCTGATTGCCTAAAGAAAATCTACAATGTTTTTTCACTTTTTTAGAAATATTTGACGCATCTATTGTTATGTCCTTAACAGCACAAAATCAATTATCCTTCAAAAATATATATAATAATGCTAAGTATTAATAATAAATATTAATAAGTATATTATATAACAACCCAGTTTATACTTAATACATTAGGGGTAAGCTCATTGCGTACTTATTTTACTTAAAAATAATCTCTAAATTACATTTTTTAAATGATTATTTTAATGAATGGCATATAATTAATTAACAAATAATTGCTTTCCAGTTGCAACACTACTAGTGATTTATTTTTAATTTATTTGAAATAATTATAGATCATCAACAGTAATTATGATCCAGCTCAATCCAATAATGATTTAATATGACTACAGAATAAGAAAATATCTTTTCCACATACGTATCTGCAATATAAATTATTAACATCTCAAAAAGAAATAATTAATTCGTAAAATAACTTAAAATAGGAAATGAATTAATAGTCTCTGTAACTATATATAGAGTTTGTTACATATTTTAAGTATAATCTAATTTATATTATTTTGAATACCATTATTAAAAATTAACAGAAGTTCAGAATATCAACATCACATAAGAAATCTTCTAAAATAAATTTGTGAATTGCAAATTGACACTATTGTTGAAAAGGTAATTTGACAAGATAAAGGCGATATACAACACGCTCATTTACTTGCTTCACGTGTATGTATATGCGTATGAAGACATAATTTTGATGGAATCTTTAATATTTACCCAGTACTAGATTATTATGATTTAAGATATTTGTAATGAGGAATGATTGACAACACGATCGTTGTCAATAATTAAATTTTACATTACATTTTACGTTGTCGTTCGAATGTCACATTTTTATATAAAAATTAAAATACTACTAATAATAAAGTTTTGACCTAAGAAGTACATTTTTGATTAAATAAAAATAAAAAATAAAACTGATTTATACTTATACTTCTTTAAATTTTTCATTTTTTTTAATCAAAAATGTATATCTTAGTTAAAACCTTATTATTAGTTATATTTTATCTAAAATTGCAATCACGATTCGAACGTTTTTTTTGTAAAATTGAATTATTTGAAGGTATCTTTTTAAAAACACACAAAGCCAAATAGGTCACATTATTGGAAAGTGGCCGTTATGAGAAACGTAGCTATTACGGATTCGGAACTATATGTTTACGATTAACTAGCTCAATTTGAACACATCACTACTCCGTGACTTCGACATACACGGATGCCAACTTAGGAGTTTTCTTCCTAGATTTAGGAAGAAAAAATTACAATAGATATTTTTTATGAGGAGATATTTTTTGGGAATCTTTTTAGAAATAAAATTTTATTTACATTTTTTTTTAAATTGCACAATTTTAAACACAAAATTTATGTAATAGTATTGGCAGCATTGGCCTATGTAGTATATTAAATTGTTCCGCCATAAACTCTTATTGTGAATATACGGCTACTCATAATATATTAAATTCATTTAATAAGTAATATAAAATGACAAAAGAGTTGAGAAAATTGGATCAGCGATCTATAGAGATGCAGCTAAGTGGGAAAAAGACAATGAATTTAAAGATAGGTATGTTTCATTCATATCTTTTATAATTAAATGATACTTTATTATTTATTCCCATTATTTATTGTCTGATTCTTAAAAATAATGAAAATGATTATAACGTCACAATAAAATGCCTTTAATTTGTATAAATATTTTTCAAGTCAATGAACAATGTTCAAGGTCAAGTATATTAATTAAGTTAATTTTTAAATAAAACAGTTTTCATTACCCAGATAATTAAATTTTCCGGTAATTTTTCTAGCTTGTTAGATAATTTAAAAAAAGGTGACTTTTTCATTTAGGGAGTTTTTTTTCAACAGTTGGTAACACTGCCGAAGTGCCGACTAGCGATGGGTCGTTGAAGGTATTTTCTTCAACTTAATGTTAACGTTGATTCATGTTCGTCAACTAGTTGATCAACTAGTTAAATTCGTCAACTAGTTAACGTGACACATACATAAGTATGTTAAATTGCAAGCCCTTTCTACTAGGGAAAACGGATGAAAGCTATCTAACAAATCTGAATTATTTTTCTAATTTTTTTTCTTATCAAAATGAACCATCATACGCTGGTGTTTAAAGATTGGTACTAAAAGACTGATGAAAATATTTAAATATATTTCCACTTCAAGTACTTTTTAAAGTTAAAGTGGTCAATTTGTTCGATATTTTCTCCTTGCATACATTACAAACAGCTTTTCCGCTAGAACTGTCTTTTTAGGTATGAAGCCATAACTCACTGTTAATACGTTCAATTATTTTGAATTTTGTACCCAAAGCTATTGCATACACTTAAATAATCATAAATTAAAATAAAAAAAAAAAACACTAACCACAAAGTTATTCTATATATTATGATATTCTGATAAACAAAACTAATAACATAAAATAAAATTCCAAATATAATTAATTATAAATTTACAAATTCACAAAAAAAACACTAAAAATGAAGTAAAGTTCTGATAATATTTACGCAAAGCCGCAAAATCTTCTATAACCTTGCGCGCAACTATTCACAAACTGTCAAACAAATTTAAAGAAAGCGAACTTAAACATGTCCTTCATAAAATTAAACAAACATTTCAACTCAACTATTTGACGTTATTTTCAACGTAAGGTTTTCAATTCGTTACGCTATGTTCCGTTGACTTAACGTATCGTTGACTGCGTTTTTAAACCAATTGATTCAACGACAAAACTTCCGAAACGACGTTAACGAAATCAACTATTTGATTTCAATGACAGTTAAAGTTAATACGTTAACAAGAGATCAACGGTTGATTTAACTAGTTCGTTGATTCAACGCCCATCGCTAGACTGCCGACATATCAAATGTCATTGACATCGTAGGGAATGTTGCGTGTTTGCAGTAGAGTTGAGTGGTCGCATCGTAATAAAATGATCGCGCTGTGAGCGGAGCCCGTTAAACGCCCGGAGGCACGCAGTCCGCGCAGGCAGTCCCGCTCCGAGTACCGCACTAGCAGCCGACAGACTTTTAATTTCAACACACGACCGAACAAATAAAGTACACGAACACATCTTCACTTGGGAACCGTTGGCGGCACTAGAATCGGGCATAATTTCGTTCTTCTGACTGGGAATCCGCCCGATAGAGATGGTTATACAGAAGATCTGTTGCCTTGGAGCGGGCTACGTCGGCGGTCCGACCTGCAGTGTGATCGCGTTGAAATGTCCCAACATAAAAGTCACTGTGTGCGACAAGAGCGTTGAGCGCATTAACCAGTGGAACTCCGAGAAGCTGCCGATATACGAGCCGGGGCTGGACGAGGTGGTGAAGCAGTGCCGCGGCAGGAACCTGTTCTTCTCTACGGACATCGCGAGGAGCATACAGGAGGCCGATCTGATCTTCATATCGGTGAATACGCCGACCAAGACCTTCGGCAATGGTAAGGGCCGCGCGGCGGACTTAAAGTATATCGAGGGTGCCGCCAGGATGATCGCCGATCTGGCTACCAGCAACAAGATCGTGGTGGAGAAGAGCACGGTACCCGTTAGGGCGGCCGAAATCATCATGAAGATCCTCCGGGCGAATACTAAACCAGGTGTCGAATACCAGATCCTGTCGAATCCCGAATTTCTAGCCGAGGGCACAGCAATAGTTGACCTAGTTGAAGCCGACAGGGTCCTGATCGGAGGTGAGGACACGCCCGAAGGCCAGAAGGCTGTGCAGGAGCTGTGCTGGGTGTATGAACATTGGATCCCAGCTAAAAACATCTTAACAACTAACACATGGAGTTCGGAACTGTCTAAACTAGCAGCGAATGCCTTCCTGGCACAGAGGATATCCAGTATAAATTCCTTATCGGCTGTCTGTGAAGTGACTGGAGCAGATGTTTCTGAAGTGGCCCGGGCTGTGGGTAGGGATTCCAGAATTGGTCCCAAATTCCTCGAAGCCTCGATAGGTTTCGGCGGCAGTTGCTTCCAGAAGGACATCCTCAACTTGATATATCTATGTGAGTGCCTAAACCTACCTGAGGTGGCCGCTTACTGGCAGCAAGTGGTGAACCTCAATGAATATCAGAAGACCCGTTTCACTAGGAAAGTGATTGAATCCCTGTTTAACACGGTCACAGATAAAAAGATTGCTATACTCGGCTTTTCATTCAAAAAGAACACCGGAGACACCCGAGAGTCCCCTGCAATATATGTGTGTAAGACCCTGCTAGACGAAGGGGCCAAGTTGCACATATACGATCCAAAGGTTGAGACGGACCAGATCTACTACGAGCTGACGACGCCGTACGTCACAGCTGAGCCCGAAGCAGTCCGGAAGAACATCGAAATACACAACACCGCTTATTCGGCAGTCTCAGGAGCTCACGCGCTAGTGCTGTGCACAGAATGGGACGAGTTCAAACAGCTGGACTTCAAAAAGATCTATGAAGTCATGATGAAGCCCGCTTACATCTTCGACGGCAGGAAGATACTTGACCATGAAGCGTTGTTGAATATCGGGTTCCATGTGCAAACAATTGGCAAGCGGCTATCAAGGACTGGGAGTATCAGGGCGCAAGGGAGCCAGACACTACCATAGAAATGTAAGTTAACCTGCTTATAAATTTAATAAACATATACTATAAATTTAACTAACATCTCTTAAAATCAATTCATTTATGATTCATTATTGAAATCAACTGAAGACTTTAGTAGGTAGTATATTATTATGGCCTTAACACATCAAAGTATGTTAAATTTTGTTGATTTTATCAGTATTTCTCACAATTATTTGAAATAACTTTCAATTCCATTTTAATTATTTAATTCATTTGTCTACTTACTTCGTTATAAACTATCTTTGTCTTTGTCAAACATTTCTAAGAATCAATTTAATAGTATCAAAGAGCACAAATCTATTAGTAGTAAATTAACAAATGAGTCATATTATCTGACAAACATTACCAGGCATCAAATCAGTTTTACTTTATTTCACAAATAACTTTTTAGACAAATTTAAAACATGAATTTTGTAGCTGCAAAATTTGAAGATTTAACCCTGCCCCGGCAGATGTACATGAAGTTAACACAGAACAAACAGTTTACTATCTCTTATATCTTGTTTGAGGTCACATGAATTATATTCGTTCAATAAATGACTGGCTTGTTGTCTCTTCAAATTCACGTCTTTGTCTGTAACAGTGTAATAACTATAATCATAGAAGACTATAGAAACAATAAGTTATTATATTCTGTGCTTCTGGTCCTGTTAGGTTGTGTGGTTTCTTTTTATTGAGCTGAACCTTTTAACTCTGCAGCAAAACGTTTAGTAGACTGGTTAAGAATAGATTGTACATTATATCACGGAATATATAAATAAAGTGTTCACCTTAGTTGTGCACTGGCAAGTGGTAAGAAAAATAATTTTGAAAAATGTGGAGTTACTATTGTCACATCTGAGGTACAGATATGTTATTAAGAACCCCATTGGAATATTATATCTTACGAACTAAAAGTTACAATTTATAATGAACAAAATTAAAAACAGTGAATGCATCTCTTAATACTGCATATCAGATCTTATGAACTTAAGTAAATACTAATTAGCAAATATTGCATGAACATTAATGTACTGCGAAATCCCTTCTCTACTAAACAAGGTCTCATATGACTGTGTTCAGATAATATTTATATTTCTTATGACTATGAGTTTTGAGAGAAATTCAATCTCATGGTGAATATTATATTTTATGCGTAATTAAAAAAAATATTAGCATTCTGCACAGCAGTCCCCTATTTTCTAATTTTTTCCTAATTTCATACTCCTCCGTCTGCCCAATATTAATAAAAAAGGGTACAAAATTTTTGCCGCTCTTATAAATATATAGTAGATATTAATAATATTAAATATTTATTATGGTTTATGTACATTTAAATTCTTTTCTTCAATTTAAGAGTTGGTCTCAACTTAAATTTGTGTTCACTTTTACAGTTTAGTAAAGGTTACATGTATTATGAATCACATCACCATATATCTTACGACATATAATTACTCTCTACTCTTACGACATATTATTTTATATATATGTATGGTATTGTATAGTTTTATCAGATATTATTAGTGTAGTATTTTGTTGGTAGATTTCATATGTAATGTACTTATTGGAAAATCTTTTGATTGGTTTATTTTTTTTTTTTTTTTCTGTTGTTGTAAATTTGTTATTAATGCACCTACCCTAACTTTTCTGGACCACCCCAAGGTTGACTGGGAGATAATGCTGATGGCATTAAGTCCGCCTTTGTACACAAATGTTTGTGCAAAAAGTTTAAATAAATAAAAAAATAAATAAATAAATAATCACAAGAACAAAGTAATCAGTACTATTCTCTTATTGGATATTTTATATTTTGAATGGGACAGTACGAGACTAAATTTCTTAATAGACAATTGGAAACGATATACAGCAAGCTTAAAAATTTAAAGTAAGAATTTGTTTAACATGCATATACGTTGAGAATTGGAAGGAATACATACAGTAAATGTGCAGTACAATAATTATTATCTATAATATTTTTTTTACCTCATGATTTATTGCATGATTATATAAAATACTTTTTGAAGTGAATTATGTTAAATAATCTTTTTTTAGTCAAATATTATAATGATGAAGAAATTTAAATACAAAACTAAACATGATTAAATTCATTCAATGGTTAGTCAATAAAAGAACTTTAAAGCTCGTCGGCCATTTTGTTTTTTCGCTTTGCCCTTGGACCAAAGCTGAGCCGGCCCAGCCAGGCTATTAGACATGAAGGTCTGTTGAATGATTCACACAATTTCCAGAACTGTCAGGTTTTTGTGAGAATTTGTATTTTTAATAAATACGTTGTACTCCGTTCATTTTCCTTCTATCGATTATGCTTACATATCACGGATTTCAATAGAAGCAGTAAGCACATAAGATAATTTTAAATTCATTCTCGGTGAAAGCATTGAGTTATTGTAAAATCTTGTATGCAGCAATAATTATAAGGATGTTGATGATGAAATTTTATTAGCGTCATTGTTTTTCGGTGTCCAAACCGAGTGAGTCGATGAGTTTTTGTTTTTTTTTTTTTGGATTTTTCTCGTGAATATGTAACTCGCATGTAAGTCTAAGGATAACATAATAAAACCGTTTAAAAACTTTTAAATTAAACGGTTTTATTTTATGTTTTTTTTTTTTTGTTAATATTGTATTGTCATTATGTTCATCATAAATTAAATGTGTATACCAAATTTCAGATCAATCTGACAACGGCAAGGTGCTTAAATTTCATTTTCTAATTTTAACCCAAACAAACAAATTCCGTACGGGTCGAGCTAAATAAAACCGTTTAAAAATGCCAGAATCATCGAAAAAAAAACTCTCATGTCACATTTTGGTGCGCAAATTGGTCATAATACGTAGATAGGTAGGATAACATGGCTAACACAGTGATAGAAGATATTTATTGTTTTAAACTTTAGTTTGAATTTGACCTTTTATAAATATTAATCTGAGTCAAATTAATTAAGCGGAGAATAACATACAATTTTTTAATATTTAAAATTCTCATAAATAAAATCGATGCCATTTTTGCAACGATTTGCAAACGTTGAAGGCAGATTTGCACTGCATTTCTGCACGTAACGGTATATGAGAATTCTAAATAACCAAGCATTGAGTATTCTCGAAACTGTACCTAAGGCCTAAGCTACGTTTAGCGTTCGCCGTTCACCGTGTGATGTTCAATTCCCGCATTTAAGCGTTTTTTTTTTCTACCATTCAAACGATACACGCTGCGCGCTTAAAGCCTTAAATATATTGCGTGCATAAAATTCTTCACGAATTAAATAAATCGTTATAACAAACGCGGATAGTGTTATTTATAATTTATGTTATTATTTGTAGTTTCGAGTCACGTCATTTTTGTCATGATTTATAATGTTAATACCAATCGCGTTTAGTTATCCATAATTATTTTTCGGAATTCTGATCACTTCAATTAATTTTAATTAGCAATATGAAGTTAACCAATAAAGATTTAATTTAGTAATTTCTATTATTTTTGGCCATTTAAGGGTAATAATTGAGAAAGTTTCGTAACTACAATGGCTCATATTTTACCCGTACGGAATCGGGTTAAAATTGCATAACCAAATCTACTTTCACCGAATCGTCGCCTTTGCAACTCTACGCTGACACGGTGACATTTTGTCTCATTTTTAAGGAAGCGAGCTAGTTGCAACTAGAAAAAAAACTCGTATTTTCGACTTTTTCAAAGTCAAATATTAATGACTTTTCTTCACTTTGACACAATTTAATTTTGCAGAATGTAAATATTAATAATTTTATGATTGAAATTACACCGATCATGGATTTATATATTATATTTAACAAATTAAATGAAGCATGTTCGTATAGAATTTTTCGTTTGTAAATAATTACATAATATGGATATATATAAAGATACACAAACTAGAAAAACGTTTTATCGCGATGTTTCCTGTAATGGGAATCGAACCCACGCCCTCCAACCACGCAGCAGACTGTTATCATCCACCACGCTAACCAGGTCGTCTACAGAATAACTAATGATTCAATATTTTTTCTTACTTTAGTCGCTTTAATCTTATAATCTACTCTCATATACGTTACAAAAACGTTTATAACCACCTATCCTACCTCTCTTCACCCGTTTGTTTTTTTATTGTGGGTTGTATTTTGTGTGGAATGGGTTTGGGAGTCCGTCCCAAAGACCACCGCGATCTAGAAAGATTTTATTCTTACCTTTACATTATCCCTAACATTGTCCTGTGTGGTAAGGACGTTTTACATACATAAATTTCACGCGGACGAACAGCCAGATGACGAAACTATTATCAGCGCATCATACAAATACTTGTCTCGTGCGGGAATCGAACCCACGACACTCGGCGCCGAAGTCAACGTCCACTACGGCTACATTAAACGCGACAATGTCGCCGATCGGTACTGATTTGCAATTCGATCAGCTAATTTCGATCCACCGTATCGAATCCCGTTAGCGGCTATTAGAAGCGCTGGCTGAATGCGAAACTTTTGGGGAAAAAACTAATTTAGCATACGCACGCGCGGCACTACGGTGTCACAGATTAAAACTGTTCCGAGGTTTTTTTACTTTTAATTTTTTCGCGCCATTGTCACAGGTGAACGGCCTGTTAACTTTTCAATACTTCAATGAAATGTTTGTATGTATGTAACGGATCTTTTTTTGTTCATTATTAGTTTTATTGCTTTTCGCGGCAAGCTCATTTAGCAGTGTTTTAACGTTATTGCTAATTATACATCCCTACTAATATTGTAAATGTCAATGTAAGTTTTTGAAATTCGAAAAGTATTTTTTTATGCAGGGCATATTTATAAACTGCATTAGCCTCAAACTAAGGAATGCTAGTACTATTTCTAAATATTTGATAAACATACATTTCTTTTGTAAATACATATTATAGATGCACACCCAGATTTGAACACTATGTTCATCACAGTATTATTCCAAAATAGCATCTGCCGCAAGAGACAGTTCCACTATCGT